ATAAAAACAAAGTATATTTTTACTAATTATCATTAATAATCACTAATTATAACTATCTCTAATTACAAATATTTTTAACTACGGACTGTCAATTAAGTCTTTAAATTCTTTGTCAAAAATCGTAATGGGGTACCTAAATTCGGAATAATCGGTGATATATTTCCTAAATTCGTTTTTGTTGCTGAATAAAATGATTCGAATTTTTAGTCATCTTAACAAAATTCGAAATTACGCCTTTTCAATGTTATGGTGTGGAGCAGGAAACTTCTAAGAATGTAAAATTTTGTTTGTTTTAGGGAAATTCTATTTTTACCCGGGTTAAAATCACCCGATGAACTATGTCATTTGCGTAACCAAAATTATTTGTATTAGTAATATTTCGGGTGACTTTAACCCGGTTGAAATAAAATTTCCCATTGTTTTACGTATTATATGTGCAAAACTTTCCAATTCTCTGTGTTAAACAATGCTAAAAATAGTTCCATTTTTTCTCATCTTAGAAAAAGTCAGCATTATATATGAAATGAACATCTCATGATTGCATATATTCCACCGATGTTTATAAAAACCCATTTCCTCTTACCTTGAGAATAAATTAACTTCCGTAAGTAAAACCTATCAAACATGAAAGCTCTCAATCTTCTTTTCCTTATCTTGATCGTCTTTACAGTTGTTGTTTGTGCAAACGAAGAAGATTATTATGAAAAAAACCTTACATGTGAAAAGCTTTTCAATGTATCCTCTTGCAGTGATTGTCAAAAACTAATCTTTCACGATATTAGGCAAGATGAAAATGATTGCCCAGCACCCATTAAACTTATTGAAGAAATCGTCAAAGAAATTAAAGAATCTGGTAAAGAAAAGATTGACCCTTATGATACTACTTATTTCAAGAAAGGATTAGAAAGTTATTGCGATCAACCATTCAATTGTGATCCTCGAACCGCTAAAAAATATTGGACAAAAATTGAACAAGTTTGTGCTAAAGAATTGAGTTATAAAGTAGATTGGAGCGGTGACCCTAGGAAGGTGGATAGAACTACGCTTCTAGCCTTTGGCACTTTATTGAGTTATTATTTCGGAATTCCTGAACACCATGCTTATTGTTATAAGTCTCCTCACTCTGATGGTATATAACCTCACTTACACGTATTATCTTGATGTTACGGTTGATGCGGAAATTCAGAAGTTAGGACTTTAATTTAATAATATACTATAAATAAATAAAGCCCCAAATTTCAGCATATGCATCAACCGCAGCAATTATTAATGAATTAATATAATAACTCTATATTTCTTTTAATTATATAGAATTTTGCGTGGCTGAAATTTACGAGAACTTCGCGGAGTATGTCAAGAAAGCCACTAATGAAGATCCGAATCCTATTTTTTCCTTAGATTTCAAATACGTTTTCAAGAGTGATGGTACTAAAATACCCATTCCTAAGAAACTTTTATGCGATGAAGAATGTTACAAAACAGTGGTTAAAATGTACAAATCTTGGATCAAACATTACAAATTAAGTCCCAAAGTATTCGAAAATATTTTCGGTTCTGAAGATGAATTTATTGACTATCTTAGTTGTAAAGCTGATGATAAACGAGATATTGTCAGAAGAACAACAGGTTCTTACTTATCACCTCTTCGTCTTCATTCTTTCATTAATTGATATTTTTGAATTTTGTGGATGGTCTGACTCTAGTAAAAATATTTGTAATTAGAGATAGTTATAATTAGTGATTATTAATGATAATTAGTAAAAATATACTTTGTTTTTAT